GGGGGGGGGGGGGGGGTGTAAGGTAGGTCGGGACCAGAAACACACGCAGACTTGCAGACGGCGCTTCAGTGGACAAAGCAGGAAGATGCAGGGCACAGGAGATTTGGCAAGGCAAGTGAAGCCAATCTGGATGGTTGTCAGGGTAAGCTAATGCACGGGCAGAGAAGATATCATGACAATGACGATGGGAGGAGGGGAGCGGAGCGGAGGGGAGGACAGGTCGGCACGGCCGAGCGGCCGGCAAGTGTACAATTGGATACATGTATACGGGCATTCGTGCCGATAGGGCGGCAAGCCGTAAGCCAAGTGGCCGCCGGTACAGCAAGGCAATGGGCGTGACAGTGAAAAGGTTGGAGGGGGATGGGGATGTTGCAGTTACCTTTTTCTTTTTCTTTCTTTCTTTGTCTCTTTTGATATCAGCTTCAAGAGAGCGTGGGTGGAGTGGCAGAGTGGGCGTGTGGGCGGAGGGGCAGAGGGGCAGAGACGAGGGCGAGGGTTGGGGAAGGTCGGCTGGGGGTTTGGGGGGTTGGGTGAGGGAGAGGGGAGGAGGAGGAGAGAGTGGGAGGCGGTGGTGGTGAGTGGACGTGGAACCAATGGGGGATTGGGGATGGCGAATCGTGAAAATGCAGAGCAGTCGGCTGGCCAGTCGGCGGACATTCCCCAGTAATAACCACAATCAGGTTATGGGGATTCTACTCACAGATCTTTGCCCCATCCCTGTCTTGTCGTGCATGAGGGGCCTCCCAAGAGACGGGGGCCACGCTGAGTTCCGGGCAACGGGAGCAGGGGAGGGAGCGTGTACATGGCTCCCTCGTTCGGCTGATGGTTCTTTGACATTTTTGCTGGGCTGGGCATTCCCAGACGGTCGATGCACCCGCGGAAGCACCTATGCACGGCCATTTAGCAGCGCGCAGTAGGGTGGGCAGGGCATGGGCAGGGCGTGGCAGGGCAGGGCAGGGCAGGGCAGGGCAGGGCAGGGCAGGGCAGGGCATGGGCATGGGCTCAGCGGGTTGGGGAGCCTTGCCAGAGGCCGCTGCCACCCCCTGCTTTCCGCACCGTCTGGGAGCCGGGGTGTGCTAACGGCATGTGGCTCGCGCCTGCGTGTTGCACGCCATTGCACCATTGTTTTGCGCGCGCCCAGCCAAACCTTGGGAGCGCAGCAGAGCATGGCACCCGCCGGCGTGCGCTTAGGTGCGACGCGCGCGGGCAGAGGGCGAGGGGTTGCCTTTGCCGCTCGTTTTGGGCCACGGCGGGGGGCTGGTGGAGGTGGTGGTGATGGCAGTAGTGGTGATAGCGGTGGTGGTGGTGGTGGGGGGGCGCCCGAGGATGCATGTCATTTGCAGCCGCTGCGAGGCCGTGACGGGGGATGCTGCAGCCACGAGGTTAGCATTGCGAGAGGAGCAGGATGGTGGGGGTGATGCGGGTGAGGATGCGGATGATGAGGATGCGCAGTGTTGTGGATGGACAGTGGCAGTCGCATGTCGCCATGGTGTGTAGTATGCGAGTGCAGTAGGCGTTAGCGACGAGTCGGGCGGCCCGCGGCTGTGGTGCGCCTGGCCGACTAGAGCGACGCTTGTCAGTGTCAAGTCGCGCGACAGGACCCTTTGCACCCAACCACCACGACGCCCCGGTCGCCTCGCACGTCGCTCTCTTGCACCGCACCGCCGGCCGCAGCGGATGCCCTCGCCTCGCAGCACCGCTTCTGCACTGATGGCCGGGGAAAGCTTGCGCGCCCGCCTGCCAGTCTGCCAGTCCGCCTGCCCGCCTGCCCTGCTCAGGGTCCCTCCCTCTTGCATCGCTGGCACTGACACTGACACCCTCACCTCCACCACAACCACCTCCACAACCACCTCCACCACCGCCGCCATCACACCCCTCCCTCCCCCATCAGATGACGCACATGCCTGGCGCCAACTCTATCGCCCCCAGCACAGGCTGCAAAGGCGGCGGCTGCTGCTGCGATCGACGCCTCCGTGCGGTTATGGCTGAGCTCGCCGACGCCTTTGCACTGGAAATTCCCGCCTCTGCAGCGTCTGAGGTCCGACGTGCCCGCAAAAGCAAATGCTTCCCCGATTAGCTCCTCAGCCTGCCCTCGCTCGCAGCTCGTCCGCGTCTGAATGTTCGATGCCTCCACCGCCGTCGGGCCCGCAGCTTTGTCATGCGACACGCCATGTCTAGCTGCATGGCGCCGGCCCTGTAAGCTTGTGCTTTGTGCTTGTACTTACGGCGCGGGTGATGGATCTGGCAGATGCACCATGTATGCTTGGCCACCGCACCGCACGCCAGAGCCCACGGTAAGCTGCATCCGACGACTCCTCTCCAGCCCCTCGTCAGCGTCATCGTCGCCGTCGCCGTCGCCATCGCCCGCACCGCCACCGCCGCCGCCGCTGCTGCTGCTGCACAAGCTTCGATGCGCCAGCTGAACATCAAACACGGCCTGCGCACAACTGACTGCCCGGCCCAAGTCGCCAAGCCATGGGTGCATAACACGCCAAAAAACGGACTCGTTTGCACCTCAGGCGATCCTCTCTAGGGTCTGCAAATTCTAACACTGGACAATCTTCAGTCCCAACCGCCCAGCATTCCTGCGCTAGACGTGGCGTCCAATGTGGTTCGTCAAGCGACTGCATGATGCCATGGGCAAAACGGGGCTCCCGTATAGCACCTGTTCCACTATAGCCCTCTCCCGTGTCGCATTGGCACTGTGCGCGCAAAAAACTCCGGTGGGTGAATCGATCGAAAGCTGGCGCCGCCTCCAGGATCTGCCTGCAAACTGCCCGACCCACGTCCTCACGGCTTCACGGCCAGCATGCCTCGTTTTGTTGGCGTGTGCGCCGCACCACCGTCAGCATTGACGATGCGGGGCCGACGCCTAGGTCCACGGTGCCATGTACATAGACATGCACACACACACCACACACACACACACACACATACATACATACATACAGTGCACGTCAAGAGTCGTCCGAGGCATCCAAGCATGTCACGGCCGCCGCCCTAGGCCCACACGAGAGCCCAGGAGCAGCATTAGTGGCCGCCTCGCCTGTCATCCGAGCCTACTTACGTACGTATTCAGCAGGTAGAACGGCCACTGCGGCAGGGCAAACATTCCGCGCTGCAACCCACTGTGGATAACCTGGCTGACCCGTGGTACTCGACCTCGACACGGAGCTGCGGTTAGCTGAGCCGAGAGCCGTGAAGATCGATACCGCGCCTAGGGGTGTGTATACCATGGCACTAGCCCTGGAACAGCTTATCCATGAGACGACAATGTACACCCTCCAACGCAACCTGTCGCCCATGACAATTTGGAATTGTCCCCCCCCCTTTACCCCCTCCCAATACTACATGCTGCAGCCGCAGGGGATGGCACATGCGCTGCGCTGCGCTGCGTCACGAGTGGGCGAGGCCAAAACTTCAACGTCGTGTGCTTGTCAGCCCGCTGCCCATGTTGCATCTGCACATCTTCTTCACTTTGCTCTTTGCGGCATCAACCGAGATCCAAAACGCAGGGAGCATGAGTCAGCTCTGCAGGAGCGTTTGCTCCTCCTTCCTCTGCCGGGGGCACGCCGTATGCATCGCACCATCGGTCGTCTTTTGCGGCCGAAAAAGCGTGAGCGCACGCTCGTTTGGGGCCACGGAGGGAAAACAACCTGGCTCGAGTGCGACGGGTTGTATGATTGGTGCCCCCCACTGCGGAAAATATACACCCAGCCGAGCAGACCATGCCAGCAGCCCTGACCTTGGCCTGCTATTTAGCCTCGTCCAGCATGACTGTGATCCAAAAATAATCTCACCTGGCGGATATTCGGTCATTATGAGCAGGTTCTCTATATCGCCTCGAGATTGCCTTCATTTCTCAGTACCTCTCGCCGGCGCTGCAGCAGACACACATAGACATGCGCATAACGGCCTGCCCAGCGCCTCGGGACTACGTACGTACAGACCCAGTCCTGCTACCACGGCGGGCCCTGCCGCTGCACAAATACAAATGCAGTCATTGCTGTCGGCCATGTGCCAGCACACCGCGCGAGTCGGCGAACAGCAGGCAACTCCCTGCGCAAGAGAGATATACGACGCTTCCATGGGCGTTTGTCAGCATCTAATCTCATGTTGGCACGCACACGCACGTGCTGCCAGCTTGCAAAGTTGAAGCGGTGACTGCGTTGAGTCAGCCGCTCTGCCAGGACCCGAATATCATGACAGGCCTGCGGGCGGGATCTACGAACCGGTGCTCAGGACACGTTGTGCCAAAAGTAGTCCGTACAGGGGCCCTCGCCATTCTGTCCGCTCTTTCTGGGGGTCCTTGCAGCCTCGCTCGCCCATGTCAGGCCCATACTCGATTTGCGACTGGGTGCGGGCCGAGCTGCTCCCATGCTGACCTGGCCTGCCCTGCCCTGATGGTACGGTGTACTAGCTGCTACTATCTTGCCAACATTCTTCTCCAGGCCAGCACCAATCGTCGCCCGTGTGGGTGTGGCTATGTATGGATGCAGTCTGACACCCTCATGTGCGGCTCACGGTCGCCTCCAAGGCGCCCTGCAGCACTTCGCAATGCACCGATGACAGGCAAAACCCTGCACGCCCTCGCTGACCCCTCCACCCTCCCCTCGAGTCGACTGGTCAGGCCCGCAACGGAGCGAGAAATTTCCGCCCGGTAATATGCTGTATCAACAGCTAAGAAGCCGTTTACCGAGATATGGAATGTGACTACGCTTGCATCTATCCGACTAGGCCGACAGTCTAGACTGCGCCGCTCCGAATATGCCACGCCGCAGCCGTTGGAGAGCGCGCGCGCCCGCCCACGTCTGATTCAGGCCCCATGATTTTCATCGAAACCCCCCCCCAAAGCTTTGCAGCACCATTGTCTTGTTCCGATTTGGGCACACCGATTATCAGAAAGCCGTTGCATCAGGGCCCTGCGTCATTGTTGGCGTTGCGTAACTCGACTCCCGAGACCACAGCCATGAGCGCGCGCGACACATTTTGCGCCCCCTCCCAAGATTGATCACCAAGCACCCACCCACCCACACCCAACCCTTCTATGCAGCCGACCGTCGCACGGCATACTGCACCAAGGAAGAAAAAAAACTGTGGCGGCTTCTGGAAAGTTGTCGGGTGTGCCGCAGCTGCGTGCGTGCAGGAGGATTTCAAGGCTATTGAGACCTGGCGGCGTTGGCGCGAAATGGGGAATGGCGCGTACCCTTACATTACCTTTGAGTGGAGCAGGAATATCTCGGCTCAAAGAAATCTCCTCGAGGGGATGACGTGCCTGCATAGCCTTGTGTACCCGATCAAGGCCCCCTGTCCCTGCTTCGGACCTTAATGAGGTGAGCATGCGGCGGCGGCGTTCACCCAATACCCGAACTTACACGCGGTCGCCTGTCACCAAGCTGTCATTTGCTTACCCGACGTCAACAGACGCCGAGGCACTCGAGCCCAGGCGAGCATGTGTATGCATCCCACATGCTACACACACCCACCTGCAGCCTGTCAGTTCCCAATCCGTGTCAGATGAGTCGCAAAGTCGACAAGAAAAGAGGGAGCACAACACGACGCCAGCCCCGAAACAGCAACAAGAAAAGTTTGTCACCTCACCTCCCAAACAGGGTACGTTGGGTCGCTGCCAAATAGCTAAACCATTGTTTTTGAACCTTTATTTCTCGTCGACCACTGCGATGTGCGCACAAAATAAAAACGCCACTATTGACTCCAATACGCGCGATGGCCCAAGGGGGGCCATGATGCTCGCTCACGGCTCTGCCCCAGGTCCCGATTAAGTTTCGCCCAATCTGCGCCTGTGTGGCACAGCTAAAGCAATGACATGCCTCCACAACAGACTTGCGCACATGCACGCACACACACTCATTCTCTCGCTCCCCTCACACTCACTCACACGCGCACGGCACCCAAAAGTGAGAGAGAGAGAGAGAGAGAGAATGTGTGTGTGTGAGAAAGAGACCAAGTACACAACAAAAGTGTTACACAGAACCGACCAGGGGCCGCGGAACACACTGCCAAAAACAAAGTAATCATGACCTGACCATGCGCATCATAACGGCCCTTCTTCGCACAATTAAGCGCCTCTGCCCAATGGGCACGCCGCCTGCTTTCTTTTAGTCGCCACAATGGCTCACTAGGTAGAATTGGGGCGCGTGCCTTTGCACACACACACACATACTGACCACACACACACACACACCTCTCGGTGCGCGCGACACACACATACATGCACACCCCAATGTGGCAAGAATGAGGGACACAATCCATGTGCTGTGTATGTATTACGGCAGTGGCCAGCTAGGGCAAATGCAAAAAAAAAATGTCGCCAACCTGTGACCCATCTTTCTTTCTTTTTTTCTTGTTCTTGTTTTTGTTCTTGTTTGCAGAAAAGAGGGACACGGAGAGAAGACGTCGAAGAAAAAGGAGAAAAAAAAGGGAAAAGGAAAGGAGAAATAAAAAAAAAGAGGGAGAAAAGGAAAAGACACGAAAATTTCACCACGAGTGCATATGTGTTTGTGTTTGTTTGTGTTTGTGTGTGTGACTGATTTTTTTATTTTATTTTATTTTTTTCCTTTGATTCATTTTCGATTCATGTTGCGAAGGGGGGGGAGGGCTCCTCTAACTGTATGGCCCGTGTCTTTGAATCATCCCAATGCAGAAAACTAGTAAGCTCAAAGCTTGCGCTTTTTGGAGGGGCGAGCATTCTTTGCTCGGCGATTTTCCTGGATCCTGCGGTTCTTGCGGACGGCGTCGACGTCGCGAAGTTCGTTCTTTGCGTTTCCGTCTTTGAAGGCGCCAATGCGCTTCTCCTTGGCCTCTGCTACGCGCTTCTTCTGGACATGATAGTCGTCGCGGTACCGATCAGCCTGCTTGGGCGCCTTTTCCGATTTGTGCTTGTAGCGAGGGGCGTTGTTGAAGCTGGCGGCAGAGCGGTTGGGGGCTTCCATTTCGCCCACGCGCGGCATCTTGACCTTGTTTGCTTTACGCCAGTCGTCGAAGCGCCCACTGCGGAAGCTGGCTGCAATCTTTTGCCCGCTTTCGCCGCGGATCATCTTGGCCCCCTTGGACCCGTCGTCGTCGTTGGTGCGATTGACGTACTTTTTCGACTTCTTGTCCCACCGCATCTTGGACTTGGCTGCGTCTGCAAACCCTTGAATCTCGTCGTTCACGAGCGACATCTCGGCCGCCCGCGCCGCAGACACAAAGTTGGTGTTGCCTGCGTCGCCGCCGCTCACGCCGTACGCCTTTTCCTCGGCTAGGTTCTCCTTGGGCGTATACGACATGAAGAAGTCGTCGTTCCTCCAACTGTCTTGCTTGGCCTTCTTCGACGTGGGCTGTGACACAGACACCTCGAGCTCGTCAGAGTCTGAATCGTACATGCCCTCTGCAACTTCAGCTTCATCTTCCGAAGATGCGGCATCGTCCTTTGCTTCTCTCGAAGAAGCAGGAGCTGTGTCAATATCATCTTCGGCCGTTTTGTTAGCCGCTTGCTTGGCCTTTTGCCGTTCAACCTGCTCTCGTCTTTTGCGCATAATCTCAGCGGTTTCGCTGTGGACTCCGCGCTTGCCAATCTCAAAGACGGTTTCTGCCGGCCTGAAGGACTGGATCCGCGCAAGCATGTCCTCCTTTTCTCTCTGTGCGTTATGCGTGTCGTCGTTGAAAAGCATGTGCGTTTCAGCAAAGTTAGGAGAGGCTGCGAGCTCTTTGGCTCGCGTCACGCTTTGTGCGCTGGCTTGGTTGCGTGTGCGCTGGTATTGTCGCTCACCCTTTTCTGCTACACTCAGTAGAAGCGCGACGTCTTCGTCTTCGCTGAGTTGTCTGTTGACTTGCTCAACAGAACTCTCCAGTTGCCACGGCGACAGACTCCCAATGACAAAATCATCTGCATAGTTGGGCTCATCACTCGTCCTCCCTAGAAGCAACCGCTTGCCAAGGAAGAGCTGTAGGTCTATGAGGTAAGGTAGGTCAACATGTCTGCATAGACTGTAGGCCCAGCCCTTTCTACCAGCACGAGCTGTACGTCCAACTCGGTGGACGAAGATCTTAGGCTGTGAAGGGAAGTCGTAGTTTATCACATGGTTGATGTGAGGCATGTCAACACCACGCGCGGCGACGTCTGTAACGACAAGGATGCGCGTCAATCCAGTTCGGAAGTCCTGAATCTGCTCTTTTCGAGCGGTCTGGTCGAGATTACCGTACACTTTGAACGTTAGCATTGCTTAGCACAGACGGTAAACTTGTCACTTACCGTACGATATAGCGTATCCTAGGTTGCGAAGAAGGTTGGCCAGATACTCTACCCTGTGTTTGGTCGCGGCAAAGATGATTGTGGACTCATCGACGGGAACATCTTTGACGAAAGCCTCACTGCGCTTCCGCTTCTTACTGTTACTGGGCCTCTCCTGCTCTTCCCGGGCTTTCTTTGCAGCGTCGGTTTCGCCTACGGGGACCTTGATGACATTTTCGAGGAGGTAAAGCAGTGCTCCATCTCGATCGCCCGACTTTATGGTAAAGTAAGCACTCTTGAGGTCTGGCGAGATCTTGCTCTCAGCATCCAGACGTATCAGCTTGGGCTCTTGCAAACCTGCCCTGGCGAATTCCACCAGTGACTTTGGCAACGTGGCACTAAACAAGAGTGTTTGCCTCGAGGCGGGTAACGCATACAAGATTTCCGAGAGTTGTGCGGCAAACCCCATCTCGAACAACCGATCGGCTTCGTCAAAAACAATGTACTTGACAGAGGACAGGTCAAGCCCCATTTCAACCTTCAAATGCAGGAAACGCCCAGGAGTTGCGATAATGATGTCGGGATTTGTGGTCATGGAGCTGAATTCTGGAGAACTGTTGGTATAAATCAAAATGCGCCCGTGGCTTGTACATACGTTCTTCTAGACTGTCACCACCGACAAGCAAAATGGTTCTTAGGTCGGTGCCGCGGCCCATTTCTTTGACTACCTTCAAAGTCTGCAGCGCAAGCTCGCGGGACGGCGACATGATGATTCCTCGCGCGCCTACTTTTGCAGAATGCGCCTTGAGCTTCTGGATCATGGGTATGACGAAGGCGGCCGTCTTTCCAGAACCAGTCCTGGCCATTCCGACCACATCCTCGCCCTGAAGAATCAGCGGCACTGCCTTGCGCTGAATCGGAGTTGGAATCTTGAAACCCTTCTGTGTGATTGCCTTCAGAAGCGCCGCATTCAGGCCCATGGCCTGGAAGCCTCCGCCTTTCTTGACCGTCTTGCCCACATTGGAGGCTTTGCGATTGGAGGCGGCCTGCTTCGCGGCGATAAAGGCTTCGTCATCGGACCCGTCGTCGTCTCCAACACCAAGATCCAAGCCCAGATCTGCGTTCAAGCCCGTCTCTTGCTGAATGTCGTCGCCGCCGGCTAGGGCATCGAATATGTCGAATTCGGTTTCGGAGAGCGCCGGTGAGCTCGCGCGGGGGGGCATCTTTGGCTACTCGGTGGCAGGATTCCGGGGCGACAGTGGTGAACTTTGGCTGTGCCTGGCGCCCGGAGAGTCGCGCGTTGGCATACCTTTGGAAAATTTCGAGCACGGACCCTTTCGAAATCTTGGCGGCAGGGATGCTGAGGCTGGAGCTTCCACGTGCCCCGCGATGAGGCAGGCGCGTCCGACGCGTTTTGCCCTCGCCAGATTCCTGCACACCGCGCCACCCAGCTCCGGTCGACAGGATGAGTAAGAATGCTGTGTTTTGACGCCGCTTGAGCCATTGGACTGACCTGCTTTAGATTACAATAGCTACGAAACCTCGTACACTTCGTACGGTGCCGGCGGCGGTGCTGGCGGCGGCGGCTTCATACCAGGAGAGGGCGGCAGCACACAGAGCCCCGGCGGCCGGCGAGACCATGCTCAGGACTCGTTACGTCCAGTCACAATCAAGCAGATACTAGACGCCCAAGGCGAAGCAGGGAGCAACGACACCTTCAAAATTGACGGCACAGCAATCAGTCAGGTATACTACAGCTCCGCCTTTGATCTGCCTGTGCTAATCCCAGTACCAGATCACGCTCGTTGGTCAAATACGCAACATCTCCAACCAGACTACAAACACAACATATCGGCTTGACGACGGCACCGGAAGCATAGAGGTCAAGCAATGGGTCGATACAGATGCGGCAGAACAGACCAACCCGACCAAGGCTAAGCTCGTTGAAGGTGCATACTGCAGGGCGTGGGGCAAACTCAAGAGCTTCAACGACCGAAAGTCAGTCGGAGCGACCGTCATCCGCCCAATCGAGGATATGAATGAGATCTCTTTTCATATGCTCGAAGCTACTGCCGTACATCTATACTTCACACGTGGGCCGCCTAATCAGGCCGGCGGGGCTGCGACCAACGGAGCAGTACAGCAACAAGCAACGGCCGGTGGCAACTTCGGCTCTTACGACCTTGCAGGCTACAGCCAGGTAGCAAAGAGGGTCTTCCAGTTCCTCAGAGAAACCGAGCAGTCGAACGAGGGCTTGAATCAGTACGAGATTGCAGCCAAGCTCGGCATCGACGCAGCGGACGTGGCAAAGGCGGGTGACGATCTTTTGTCTGGAGGTCTCATCTACACAACCGTCGACGACCAGACCTGGGCGATCCTTGAAGCAGACTGAGTGAGATATTAGTGTGGAATACCGACGAGAACGAGCAACGTAGAGTCATGTCTCCGAGGTCAGCGGCTACAGAAGAATAACCATCATGATTCTCCATGACCTTTGATAGTAAAGCGCCATACGCCTTGCAATCATACCAAATCTTCTTATTTCTCTGCGTTTGTAGAGAGAAGTAAAACACACGTTCCAACGATAGCACTCGACACCACAGTGAATACAACTTGTGTCTTCCAACCCGTCTGCACCAGTGCCCGCCGCCGACTATACCTTGCTACAGTGTTGATATAGTTGGACAAGCCCGCAAGCATACATGCCATGGATAAGACCCAGAAGACGATACCCAGCGGTAATGCAAAACGTAGCTCTGCAGTACAAGTCAGGCAAGAATTTGAAGAGACAATACTTGTACATACCGAGCGGTGAGGGTTGGGACTTGAGGTGGAAAGACAGCACTATCGCTACCGACACGATCGTCATGTACACGCTTAGTTTAAGCCATGCGAGAAAGGCTATCGGGTCGATGAGTGATTCGTTCTGTTTCATCTCACTCGCATGGAAAACTCACTCCTCTCGTTCGCAGCGTGGTCCCGTGCGTCCGAGGTGACGTTATCGAACAGCAACACGCCGCCAAACCACGGCGATTCTCTGAATACTTTTCGGTCATAATCATTACTCCTATCTATATGTCAGAACATGGTATTGACATGGAAGATGGATGATATGTGATGAAGATGGAGAGAAGTACTGTTTTACCAGGATAGGTTTGCTTCCAAAGATGTTGTAGAAAGGCCGGTAGGGTTCGCTTAGGATAGATTCATCCGTTGCATCCATGCGCTCTAAGCTTCTAAAGTCCATAATGTCGTATTGATGCAGGCACGCAATCTTGCAAAAAAGCCCTATTGGTGGGTTGAACAAGATGGTTGAACAACGAAGGTTGGAGGTAAGCAGCGACAAGCACGGACTCACCTCGGTAATTGTCAAAGTAAGCAGAACCGGTTCATTATTGTTGTCGCTGGACCGCTCTTCCCACCACCTACTTCTTTCACGTCAACTTAGTTTCACAATGACATGCCCAAGAGAACTTACCATATTCGGTGGTGTAAAGTAAATATATCCCCCAAACGTTTGGTCATTGACGGTCCTGAATGCTGATTTTCCCCTGCTGTAAGAGGATGGAACGCAGCCGACTGGACAGCTAGTGACGACACCGTTCGCGGCGGATCCTCATATTCCCGTCTCACCATTGAAGGCTCATCCGCATGCTTCCACGGCAACCTCAACTACACGACGCTCGGCGGAGCAGGATTTGCCAGCCAGCGCACTACGGGCGAGAACCGGTCCTGGGATCTTTCGGCCTATGACGGCATCTTTCTCGACTTGGGCTCACACGACGGCAAAAAGTACACCATCACGCTCAAAGATACGCTTCTGCCCCCTCTACCCGATGGCCGCGAGCAGTCTTCGCTCAATTTCGAGTTTGACTTTGAGTCCAAGGACGACATGGGCGTGTTTGTGCCTTGGGGCGCCATGAAGCCGACATACCGAGGCAGAGAGCAAAACGACACTAAGCCTTTGAACACGCAGAGCGTTAAGCGATTCAGCATTATGATCCGGAGGTAGGGCTTCCTTTATTTCCGGGTTTAATTTTCTCGTTATTAACGAAAATAGTTTCTTTGCTGAGCAGCAAGGCGACTTTGACCTTGTCATCAACTCCATCAAGGCTGTCTCGCATTCCGGCGACGGAGAAAAGGGCATCGCTGGTGTTCGTCGGGGAATTGACGTAAGACTATGATATATCATCTATCAAACTCGGTTTCATGACTAACTCATTGCCTGCTGCAGGTGCAAGAGCCATGGTCGTGGAAAAACTCGAATATGGTTGGTCTGGCTGTTATTCTGGGCACCGCCTGGGCCGTTTCTTGGGTCTACTGCAAATGGAAGGGTTATGATACTAGCATCATGCGCTTTTCAAAGTGGTTGTCGGCTGTAAAGAATTAGCAGGCTGATAGCATGATTGCCTTGAAAATAGACTAGTATCCAGGTAGCCTATGCTATCTGAGAAGAATAGATGAACAACAAGCGTATTTATCGCTATATATATAACCTCTATTGTGTAGCAAGCAGTGCAGTCCCACGACCTTGACTATTTCGTTCAATAGAGAAACATGGGAATGGTTCGAATCACGTAGCTAAGAATGTAGAAAGTAGATTGCGCATCTTGTTATGAATTTGGATAGCATTCATGATCCGAATCGGAGGATTTGTAACGAAGATTTGCGTTGTTTGATCGGGCGATGAATTCTAGTTACAGAGCTGAGTTCGATACGGAAGCAAAGGATTATACAACTTACTAGTCTCGTCGAAGGATATGCAGTGTTTTTAGACTCTCTTCACAAGAACTATCTTGCAAAACTTGTGTAAAGGATGAGAGCTTCCAGTGTTGGTCTTGAAATCTCGTCGAGATGCTACGTGGAGGCAATAACATGGATAGAGTTTGCGCAACGGAGTTGTGTCATGGCCAAACGAATTCAATTCTGATTAGGAAAGAATACTAAGTTCAGTTATTGGGTACTGGAGACAGCTCTATCACAGAGTGTGTGGTGGATTTAGAAGTTGAAGGTTGGAATAAAGTGAATAAATGCCGCAGTATGGATCAAAACTCGATCAACTGGCTCCACGCTCAACAGATGGAGGCATACTGATCAATGATTGAGTATCTCTATACATTTCGATGGATTTTCAGTCCTTGAGCGGCAAGAGCAATCTGACTAGTTCTCTCACAATTCTCACTTATTACTCTCTCAGCTCCCATGGTAGACATGACTGGGTTGAGGGACTTACATGGCCAATGTCTTTATATAAACAGCACATGAGAACGATTGCAAGGTGAAGCAGTATGAAATGTCTCTGTCTGAAGTGGTTAAAGATGGATCTTTTTTCTTTATATTAGACACAGGTTTTGAATGTAATCTTCAACTTAAGATGTTCGTTATTTCTGTTGTGAGTCGATCCCTATCAAAAGACTGTAAGGTGCTAACCGGTATTGTATTGTCTAGAAGTAGGAGAAGATACAGGTCCACCCACTTAGGTATCAGTGCCTTCTCTAGTCTTATCTACTTGGGAGTTCTATCTATTTGTGTACCTGGCAGGTAATAGGAGCCTGTTCAAGTTTGTCGATTTCTATCAGAAGTGATACCCTTCCTGTGGAGGAAAATAGCAGATGGAAACCTGGTTCAGGTGATCTTTGTATTGGATCACTGCTCAAGAAAAGTACTCGAGCAGGTCAGCTATATATACCGTAGGCTCTAGGGCTAGTCCCAGTACGGTAGCTCACGTAACATATGAAATAATCACCAAAGGCGCTTGGCAAAGCCGTGTACGGGTGCCCAATACTTCCTCTTTCGCGATTAACTCAAAAATCATAGGTTCTAGTTATTTCTATTTTGTGAACTCTACTGTACGTTGATAACATGCATTTGGAGCATATTGATATTCTCAGAGCGGTAAATTATACATAACACATAACATCTACTTGCATACGTGAAACCGATATGTCGTAGAAGCTTGTCACGTCTGTCAGTGTGTGATTATGAAGAGATACTACTTTGATTCGAGGTAACCCCCTCCTCCTTCCCCTCCTCCAAAAATAAGCATTTAATTGATGATTAGTATTCCTACTGAAATCTCAGACCCACTTCACACGAGGGTATATCAAAGAATTAAAAGGTTCGATGCACTCAACTACAGAATACTCACTCTTTGCACAGTCCTATCCTCTTTTCATTGCAAACATCCCAGATGTGGTGGCTAGATTAAGAATAACAGATATATCAGGTCGTGTCATTTCAAAGTAAAATAGTCACTGTTCAGACACTCCTTATTTTTCACCATTAGACGTCGCGTCAAGGCAAGTATTACGAGTACTCGCATGGCGCTAAAGCGGAACCTCTTCCAGAAACATGCAGCTCCACGAGCTCAGACGACTTCAACCAAGGAATCATGTTATCTTTCGCATTCGTCGGTTCCAAGGGTAGCCCAAGGTCCCTGCATCAGCACTACAACCGCAACCCCATGCATTCCTTACTTTGTATCCACGAACCAGACACTCAGGCCATGTAATTTCCCAACCGTCATGCATGTGCACCGTAACCAATCACACGTACCAGATCTCCACGTTCGCAGCAGATGATGTGCAAGTGTTCCCGACATGGTTTCGTTGAGGAGAAGAAAAGGCACAGAGGTATGTAGAGCCCGAAGATATTCCTTTTGCGCGGAAGAAGGATTCTGGACCAGTATACTTACGAGTACCGCACGGAACTAGGCAACCCGCATTCCTTGGCTCGGATAATAGTTCCGATGTGGAGTGATGCTTTTTTCGTGGGTATCAGGCAAGGATGGACTTTACCTGTTTGCTCGACAAGCAGCGGTGTTGAGACTAAGCTAGTTGTTACTACACTCGCATACATGTAGCAGGCGCTACGAACGATAACAAGCCACTAGAAGATGCATGGAATATGAGTCTGGGAAACACAGGGGAGCTACTCATGTACCTAGCAACCCAGGGACAACCATTCAGTAGGAGAAAGAATCACAACAGTCTCCAGTAGAATCCAGGGGAAAGTAAAAAAAAGCAACTCTCCCAACGCTTAGCAGTCAATCTTAAGAGATGCCCGTTTTCGCTTCACCTTATTTCCCCCTCGGTATTCCAAGCCGACCCCAGATAAGCGGCAGCACCAGCTACGAAAACAGGCGGCCAACAGCTGGCCATACTTACTGTAGAGCGCAGCCACGTAAGGTAACCAGCGCACCTGTATAAAAGGTACGCAATCTCCAAGTACCAGATTCCGACCCACGCCCCCCTTAGTTTCTTTTTTTCCTTCTCTTCTCGCACCCCCTCGTTCCCGTCCTTCCGTCGTGCCGCAGTAGCGTCCGCGTCCGCGCCCGCTTGAGCCCCCTCCCCCCCAAAAAACAACGAAACTGTGGAAGAAGAAAAAGTAAAGTCATGACGGGTTTGGTCCTTGGCTTCTCCCGCATGGCGGGACTTGTTTTTTTTGGGAGAGGGGGGCGCAAACTAAGGCTGAGGATACACAAGTGGTACGGGTTTGTACACCTAGCGTTGACGGGTCCGTCGCGTGGGAATGCTAATGCTAGCATGCTTTGGCTGGCTGGCTGGCTGGATGGATGGATGAGGTGATACCTACCTACTTGGCATGTTGCGGTGTTTTAGTCTCAGACTTGCACACACTCGATGACAAAGTTTTCTCCCCCCCCTCTCTCTCTCTTCTACATTTTAGTTTTTGTGATAACGAAGGGGGGTTCCTGCAGATTTCCACATGCTGCTTTGTTTCACATGTGGCGGCGGGCTTGTTGAGTCGGTTCCCCTTTCCCTTTTTTCCCTCTTCCCCCTCCCCCCCCCCCTTTTTTTTTGTCGGGTCGCGAGGGACGCGTGTGCAGGGCCGCCGCTTCGGGAGTGCTAGATGGCTGGCTGGCTGATTGTGCCGAACAATAACAAAAAAAAGGGCGGTATCTTTTTTGGCCCTTTGCCACCACCGCTCTGCAATGCTTACACTGTCTAACACCCACCTACCTACCGCCACCACCACCCATCTTTGCTCTCACTGTCTCTTTTCTCCCCCGCACAAATTTCTCGCACCGCAACCGCAATCGCATCGTACCGCACAAGCCCCCGTTGAACTCGCCCCGGCCATCGTTAGCCTGGCTACCCGTCCCACCGTTTCACGCGTGCCGTGCTGAATCTGACTAATAACCTAAACCCGCGACTTAAGGCGTAGGTAGGGAAGCTGTGTGTGTGTTAGTGCGATACGTTACGTTACGTTACGTTCACATACGTAGCATCAGCATTAGACTGGCGAATAGGTAGGGGTAGGGTAGGGGTAGGGTTAGCTTATATAATACCTAGCCCTACCCCTACCCCTACCTACGCTAAGGTTCCTTAGCATAGGTAGAAGTAGGGTTGCTAAGACCTAAGTAAAGGTAAGGTTAAGTTAGCTAAAACTTAGGTAGAAGTAAGGTTAGGTTAGCTAAAACCTAGGTAGAAGTAGGGTTAGGTATATAACTATTAGGTTATACTAGGTTAAGGTCTTATTTTATTATAGATATTAATTACGTTCTTTTACGCCTACTACTACTCTACACTAAGCTTCAATATTATCATTATTATAGAATTAAGTTCTATTTACTATTATATAAGTATACTCTACTAGAATTCTACTTTCTTATTACTACTACTAGCCCCCTATAGAATACTTCTTACTATAGTGCTTAAATAGCTAAGAGTCTTTTTATATAATTACAACTCTCGTTATATATATAGCGTTAAGTAAGTAGTCTATAACGTTAGTAGCTATAATAAATATTAGTAATAAATAAACATACCTTTAAAGTAGCTAATTAAGTAGGCCTTAGCTGCCTCTTATAGGGCTTTAAGAGTATTATAAGTCTAGCGCTACTCTTTAAAGCTATTTACTCTAGCATAATAATAGAAACTACTTTACTAATCTTAGGCGATCTTATAGATAAGATTTTAGAGCTATTTTTTTAGGATTAATAGGTTTTACTCTTTCTATAGTCTCTTAATTTCTCTAAGCATAATTGTAAGAGGCTACGCCTAAAGTGTGTGTGATCGAGTATATCTATACGACTACCTGGACTTCAAGAAGCTTGAAGTCTTGTTACTGCCTTTTTGGCTATGGATGGCGTAAGTAGTCGTACGCTCGGCCCGTTGGGCCCGCCCATTACAATAATAGCTATAAGTAATTAGTTATTATACGTAATAAAAGCTTATAATAAACTTACTACTAAGCTTAAATAGGCGCTTTTTAGTAGTATAAGTAGTCTTAGTAGCACTCTTACGCGCTGCCTTTCCTACTAGATTCTTACGCAGCTATTTGCTTCTAGTTAATCTTTTTGCTATTTACTAGGTGTAGGCTATAGTATATAATAAAGAACTATAAGTATAGTAGCAGTAGTAGTAGTAG